AACTACTAAAAAAAGTACCAGCTAATTAAGGTTATGACTTGAGAGAAAATTAAACCTGCACACTTTATTCACAATAATTTAATTCCAAGCAATGTTTTTCATTTATGTGGGTTTCGAAGGCGATGGAAGGGGCCTGTTGGTTGATGTCGATAAATCAATGTACGAAGTCCTATAAATGCACTATCAAATGGGTTTTTGTCTTTTTTTAGCTCCTTGCACTTAATTATTCTTGAAGTTTTATTTGTTAGTACATTTTCTTGTAGTAGGTCTTTTGCAATTTTCTGAACATCAGCTTGGTATGACGGTATATGGTGGAACCCCTTCTTTCCTGTTGAATTGGTAATATTATCAAAATGGCTTGCAAAATTAACTAGGTGAGGATACTCTTTAGAGTGTTGAAGGATACTTTCCTTTGTCTGATGTCCCGAACATGTTACTTTTGTATCCTTGTTCAACATCTCTAAGTATTCATCTAAGCTTATATTATTGTTTGTTCCACCTTGCAGATTTACAAATCTATTAGCAATTAATCTTTCTGATTGGTCAGGTGGTAAGACACCGTCACTTAGTTCTTCTTGCATTTTTAATGCATTTTTCTTTAATTTGATTGACTGTTGGACTTTTCTAAAACATTTAAAACAGACGCCATTGTCCTTGTCTACTTCGGCGTTTACTTCAAAACCAGTAACAACACTAGAAATTATTGCGATTCTCTCTGAGTTCTGCAATAGTTTCAGTTTGAACAGTTTTTTTTTTCAACACGTTCACCCGTTGAGGAGATTTCTATCTGGATGAAAGAAAAACCGCATAAAACACAAATGTTTGTTCTAACTGATATTTTCCTTGGGGTGCATACTTCACTTGATGCCATTTTAACCTCGGAAGGCAATAATACAAACTATTATTACAGTTGTATGTTACGAAACGTTTTTCGCATGGGCGCTGCCATTTTTGTTTATATACATTCGGAAGACCTCTAGACACTACTAAGACTCCTAAGCCAGTCCAATACCCTAACAGTTTGTAGCACCTTCGCTGATTGGCTACAGCAAATTTGACCCTAGACATGACCCTCAAGCGGCTGTTGTTAGATTTCCCACGCGCGACATATAAACAACGAGGAGCAAGTGCGGAGATTTAATTTTAATTAGATTGTGTGTACCTTACAACCATTCCATACACCACATATAGTTTACCTACTGCACATAGTATCGGAAAAAAGGACTACCCACAACAACTAAATACTGACCAATGACAAATAGTGTAATCAAGGTCAAATGAACCCTTCCAGACGGACATGTACAGTTTTCAACGATTCCATACACTAAACATAGTAAGCCTATTACTTATTGTATTTGACTACGAAAACTAACATTGATCAATGAGTCATAAAATAGGGGAAAGGTCAGTTATACCTGACATACATACAGACCTTGCAAGGATTCCAAATGCCAATTACAGGTATCCTATAACTCATGACTGATGGGAAATGCACATGAATAACAACAATACAGTTTTTTGCAGGTTGTTTAATCATATAAATGAGACCGATAATGGAAATACGACAGGACAAATAAGACATTTACATACAAGTAATGCAGTGTCCAGGTGGGTACCATTTATTGTATACAATACGTACCATTTTCTAGTTTGTTATCTTTGAAGAGTTTTTGTTTTCAGTCTTAATCCTTGGATATTCACAGAATGATTGCACACAAATTGAAATTGCGCTCCTGCCATTGAGATTTTTTTTAAGGATTTCCCCAGTTTTTTCAACTTTGGAACTTAATAATATATCAATGAAGTTTTCCAACTGGGGTTTCTATTTTGTGTAATCAACACCTACATATTTTTACCTATATCCTTAGCTTGGCACCACAGAGAAAGTGCACATACCTATTGAAGCTATGCACTTCCTATTATGGAGTTGTTACATAATTTCTTATATTTTCGCATTCTATATGTTGGTAGATTTTAATGTTCAATAAATAAATTTGGTGTATATACTGTCTTCTGATTGGTTAAAAGAATTACCTTTATTTTCAATGTTGTCAATTTTTATGGCGACACGCCCACTCTGACGTTGTGTATTTATACGCCAACATGTGTATACGTTGTTATTGTTAATATAAATAATATAAAAAGGTCTTTGAGCCTTATTTTAGATAGAAATTTATTTATAATGAATGGCAATAATTTATTTTGAATTTATTGAACCATAAAATAAATTTTTGACTCTTCACATTTTACATAATCCGCTTCGCGGATTATTCAATGTGAAGAGTCAAAAATTAATTTTATGGTTCAATAAATTCAAAATAAATAATAGCCATTTATTAATTAAAGACCATTTTCCATTGCGTTTTAAACATTATGTGCATTGTTCCATTTCCTTTGATTAATATCACATTTGTTAATTTCATCATATGCCTGTTAAATTTATTCAAGGAACATAGTTTGTCTAATGTTTTAGATGATTAAAAAGATACTTTATTGACATGAAATATATTTGATTCTGGGTCAGTTTGTACTTTCAATATATAGTTTAATGCTGTTGTTTTGTTTTTGTTATATGAAAGCAAGTTGACCTCACATTTGCATGAAACACGGAAGCGCTTCTTGATAAAAATGTAAGCGTCGGTAGCTTTATATTTTGTATAGATTTTGATAACCACAACATGTAACTCTTATATTTACAGATCTTTGAAAAAATATATAAATATGTAATTTACGTTTTTATATTTAGAATAAAACTTTGAAATCAAAACTTCGTATCATTCCTCATGAAACCGGTTAACATCGTTAAACCGTATATTAGCATAATGACGATGTCGATGAGGATAGCTCGTTAAATATTAATCAAACAATAATTATTATACATGGGATAATTATCTAGTGTTACAAATTTCCTTCAATTATTTATATTTACGATATATAGTATATCAATTACTTTTCACATTACAATTTTTAAAAAACATAATCGATAGCACGAAGTGCAGAGCAATTTTTCAACAATAATATTAATTCTGTCAGCATGGGATGGTTTCTTACACATAGTTTGTTTTCAAACAGATTAAAACACATATGACGCAATCAAATATTTCCTCGTTCAGCTAAAAATAGATAAGAATGTGTATGAATTGAACACTTACTGTAAATATAAATTTTTAAATAAATAACAAATATGATTTGTATATTATATTTCCTTTGACAGTGAATCATAGACTATTAGATAGTGACCTAAACATATTTAACTGTTTAAGACTATTCTTCATTTATTTCGTTTACCATTTAAGGTAAAAATTAGGATTGATGTCGTAACATTGTGTAAGTTACAAAAACATTGAACAGTGTTAAATAATTCCGCATTGGCCAGACCGAGTTTATGAGGGACCTACTGTCATAAAAACATGTTGCAACTGTTGTAAAGTGTAGTTCTTAGTAATACAGATATATGGACTTCCTGTCCTCGTACCTTCTCTACTGGCTTTTCGTATCATTTCCTCACGTGTCAACAGTTCCATCTTAAATTCCTTGATGACTTTCTTCTTTTTCTTCTTCATAATAAATACAGTAAATATTCCCACAATAACAGCTGTGAGAAAAGCAGCGGCTAACAATCCAACTATAACAGCCAATATATTGATGTTTACTTTATATCGTAGTTTGCCAATGTATGCTTTGATTCTACCAACTTCAACCTTGGGATGAAAAAATGAGAGATTTAATGCATTTTAGGCAAAATCAGAAAATGAACAACATAATAATTTTCCTTTAATAAAAACAAATACTAGTACCTAATTTTGGATACAAATCTAATATATGAATGATGTTGTTTTTAACTTTCGTTCGTACTATATAAAATAGAGAGACAAAATGCGGTTGAAATCTTTACCAGAAATGCATTAAATGAAAATTGTTACAGATATTTAAGGAAGACAATCGAATGTTGATTACATGTATGTTAGAAAAGTGATAATTCTCTAATCTGGAACAAAAGCATACGACCATATGACAATTACATTAGTATGATTAGATGATAACCGTTTTTAAGGTTTTGACTAACTTCATCGTCGGTTATGTTGATAATTTGACTGGTTCCATATTAAATGCAGGTAGTGCAAAACGTTCTGGAATTTTAACATTTTGTCACACGTTGTTAGTATTGTTGTCCACAGCTTTGTCTGACTTTCAAAATATAGGGTTCTGATTTCCTTGTGTTATTTTGAATGATTTTGGTGAAATTGTCCTTACTAGAAATGCATTAAATGAAAATTATTACAGATATTTAATAGAGGCAATCGAATGTTTGTGCGTTCTGTATATATTACACTTTTCTGTACGACTTTATTAGAACATTTAACACAAAGGAATATCAATCATTTGAGCTATCTGAAATATATGAACACATACTTATATTTCTTTTTGAGCTTCTTCCATTAGGTGTTTATCAATTACAGATTTTTCCCATTCAGTCAATAATTTCGTTGTTTACTATTTGAGTGGTTAAACGTTTATAAGAAAGTTGTATCTTACACTAGAAGGTGAATACTAGTCTTACATGGTAATTTGGATCTAAACATCATCTGAATAAAGTCTGCACTATACATAATTCAGTCATGTTCAGTCTTTCGGTCGATTTTCAGACTTATCCAATGCGGTAAATTCAGTACTGTTCAGAAAATGTGCTTGCAGTCAATTTAGTACTGTTTAGTAGTTTTTCAGACAATCAATTATGATGTGTACAGGGTAATAGCAACGAATGAACATCTTCTTTTTTATATAGACTGAAAATATCTTAATTGACTGCAAGCGCATTGTTTGAAAACTACTGAATTTACCGAGATTGATAAGTCTGAAAATTGACTGAAAGGCTGAAAATGACTTAATGATGTATTATTCAGTCTTCTTTTAACAGCTGTTTAAATCAAAATGGCCGTTTCAGATCACAACTAGTTTACTAGTAATTTTGACTTACAATAACAAAAACTGTATTTTGATCTGTATCATTTGTCCTAGGTGTGAACGTAGGTGGCAAGCAGATAATAAATGTCATGTTGATATCTGTTATTATGCATTTTCCGTCCAATCCAATATGGATGGAGTAGTCATCAGATATTGCTCCATGTAAGATATTGGTACCCTGTATACAAAAAAAAAAAGATTTTTTTGTTTAAATTTGTTAGAATGGTTACTGGTTAATCATAACATTATTTTGTCATCTTTTTGTTTCTGTACATATAGCACAAAATGTCTATTTTAGCAAGATTGTACTACATGTTATATGTCATGTTTTAGTTGTATTGGTCTTGTACCATGGAGTTAAATAGACTTAGAATGAAATAAGGAGAATTCGACATCATACGTCGGAGATAGAAAAATTTCCTTACTTAAGATTCGGCAAGGTTTTTACAACGTATTCTTTTGATTATTAATTTCTTGCCATTAACATGACTGTTTGACAGTTTCAAATCCCAGATCTAGAGCCGTACACCGTCTCTATTCTAGTTATTAGAATCACAGAGTCAACGTGGTTAATCTCTTTCCTTCATGGTATGAAAAATTTAAAATTTGTTTTAAAAAAAAGGTAAATTTTGCATTTCCCATGTCTTTGAAATTGTAACTTGTAGCAGATCACTGATTTAATTTTTGTATGCACCCACTCGGTTCAACTCACTACTGATGCATTGTTCACTGGGCAAAACGCGCTATGCAAACCATACGAACCTGTTTTATTTTCACTTGTATATTTTTGGGGAAAAGTTACTAAATTTAATATATTTAATATATTTTCTATTTTTCATTTTTTATTAATGTTTATGTCTGATAATACTTACCGTGATCTGAATAGGTGATTCCTTATCATATTCAAGTATACTTTGGAAATTGTTCAATTGTGGATCATCAACATATTCAATATCAACTGCTATACTTAATCCATCAAAATATACACGAACAGATTGTACATTTGACTCATTTCGTTTCATTTCGGGTGTTTGACATACAGCTTGAATATCGAATTTAACATTACATGGGTTTTTCTGGAAATAAAAACTTTCGAAATGACAATCAAGACATGTATAATGTAAGTAGAATTAGAATGAAAATCATGAAAGTAGCCAGTAAAAAGGACATAGTCTACATTAGTGATTATTTCATTCATTCTTATGAAATAATATTGTAAATAGACAAACTAAATTTGAACATATGATGCAAATTAGGTAGCAATCGGGAAATCTATAATATTAATTGTTTTTCTTAAAAACAACATTGCTAAAAAAGCTATAACAGCATTATGACACAGATTAAAAGTTACATCATAGGTCAATTTTGTAAACTTTGAGAGCCAACAGAGTCAAACAATGTTTTGAGCTTTCGAAATATTACTGAATGTACTGTCATGTCATGAACAGTTGTTAACTCATAGCAAAAACACTTTAACAAGCTAATTTTAAAACCGGGAATGGTCCATTTTAATGGTAAAACATTGTAAACAAATGAATTTCAGCAAAAAAATTTATGATATCACTTCATAATGCCACTGGTGCAACTGAAAAAAAAAAAACAGAAAATCAGATTAGAATATATCTTTGGTCTTTACGACAAAAGAGATGATTTTATCTTCCCAATTGTGAAATTTCCATTTCTATGTAGCAACATTCCAGCAGTACACGCATATTAAAAATGTATCTCCCAGAGCTTATGTTGCATATTATGATTTCTTTAATAAAAGAGTTCTGCTAACAGGAAAGTTACTGAACCAATGGTTCAAAGTGGAGAAATTGAAATCATTCCTTCGAACGTTTTACCGACACCATCACAAGTTGGTTGAGCGTTATATAATATCCCCAGATGGCAACTAATGTTTCAATTGTCGTAACCACAATCCAGTTCTCTTTTCCTCAATTGAGACATATCCGAATGAGACTTATCACCGGAGTTTTTCCTGCATGAGCAACATCACATGTGGTATATGTTGAGCAGGAGCTGCTTACTCGTCCGGAGTACACCCCTGGTTTTTTGTAGTTTTGGTGTGGAATGTATTCGTCTTATTTTGCCTCTTTTTTTCAATGGCATTGTCAGTTTTTATTTTGTATGTCCCTTTGGTATCTTTTGCTTTTTTCACAACTCACTAGAGTCAAACACACAAGCGACTCAAATTATACAGAATGGTTACTCAATACAAGTATCAGACGAACGTTTTTAATTCATTTGTAATGAGCTAAGAATCTTGGTTTTCTTTTTTTAAATTGAACTACTTTTCGTTTACCATGAACAAAATTACTTGAATAGTATCCCAACTTTACAAATTCATTATATGTATGCGAGAAACGTCAAATACCTAAGTTAAGTATAATTGTATAAATTATGTCGATCATGTGATTGTTTTTTCTACTACGTCAAATTGTTATATCAGATTTTTTTATGCTTTTTTTACCATATTTTGGTTTACCATAAACAAAATTACTTGAAGAGTATCCAAACTTTACAAATTCATTATATGTATGCGAGAAACGTCAAATACCTAAGTTAAGTATAATTGTATAAATTATGTCGATCATGTGATTGTTTTTTCTACTACGTCAAATTGTTATATCGGGTTTTTTTATGCTTTTTTTAACATATTTTGGTTTTATTACTTCTTAATGTTAAACTTATATTGTAATACTATGCAATTTTTGTCTTCACAGTATGGAAAAGGCGTACGCGATAAAGTTTATTCTTGAAACATTATCTCGTGCTGACCTTAATCAATATCATACAGTGAGATTACTATCTATGTACGAATGATTTTTATATATAGTTATTTACCCTAACTACACAAGAGGTGAAAGATACCAAAGGGTTATCCAAACTCAGTCGGGAACAAACTGACAATGCCATGACATAAAAAAAAACGGAAAACGATTAAAAGACAAACAACAATAAACACAACACAATATAGAAAACCAAAGTTTGAGCAACACGAACCCCACCAGAACAGGGGGTGATATCAGGTGTTGCGGAAGGTTAAGCAGATCGCGCTCCTCTAGTCATAAATATATTTAAATCGCTTCCATGAGGAAACAGTTCATTTTTTTTAAGTTATGCCTATCTGATATACTGCAGCTAGAACACTTCCTGTTGGCTTTATCTACCAAAAATGTCAATTTCAAGTCGAGTCACTTTTCTACACAATCAATGGTTTGTTTAGGGATAAAAAAACAAGTTTTATTTTTTGTGTATACATTTTCATAAATATAATTGTAACAATTTTTAGCGGCAGTATAAAAACAATATTATGCAAATGTCAGAAAAATATCAATATTTTAGTATTCGGGACCAATCTGTTGAAGGCCTCGGTAAACTTCGCTTTTTCCAAGTTGATAAGCCTCATACAAAAAATGTTAATATTTTTTCTGATATTGACGTAATATTGTTTATTTAACGGATGAAAAAAATGCATCAAGTACTTAACAATGTCCAAATTAAAAATAATTAAAGTTTCTAGCAGTAAACACAAAGATATGGTGAACAGTTAACACACACAGTTATAGTTTATTCCCCTCTTTCTTATGCATTTCAAATCGTATTATTCACATACACATGATAAACTTACCACTCTTTCAACAGTAATCTTGCCAACATGACTAAAACCTTCACCATTTATAGTAAATGTTGTTCCCCCACTAAAACATAAATTCGAAAGGATATTATGTAAAAATATATTTTGTTACATTATTTTGTAAGCGTGACGATGCTGTTCATCATACAGTCAAAAGACACATACATCTCACATTTACTGTAATTGACAGGTATGCTTTGTTCCATTTTCTACTTACATGTGTATGTGATATATATTTTCTAAATAATACTACGGTTTATTGAATAGAAGAGAAAATTGGTAATTGCTGAATCACTGTAATTTAAAAAAAAAAATTCAGACAGCAGTTCATGTGTAAAGGAATATTTTCTACTGGTATAGAATTAAAATCCTTTGAAACTTTCCAGGAATGACAAAGTGACTGAACAAATTTTAGTTGATTTGTGAAGACCTGATAGAACTGACGAAAGGTAAGTATAAAGGCCCAGGAAATTGGAAAAAATAATAAGATTATTGAAACCTTATAAAATGCTGTCAATTTTACTAATAAATGAACCGGTTGAAGTAATTTAGAAAGTTCAGTGCAGAACAGTCACTTGTGGTGTCACTATAATGTCTAAAACATGACGAAATTGTCATATTGGACCCATTATGGACATGTCTTATAAAGTGCCCGGACAAAATAAATATGCAAAAATGAGCAAAAACCCCAACGAAATTATGTTACCCACATTATCATGCCAAATTGTATCAGTTTCCATGATCAGTGAACCATGAAAATAGGGATCAAATCCCTTATGGCATGCTTAAAACATTGAAGTCAATATCAGCAAAATTATCACAATATCCCCATTTTTATATTGCTTATATCTAGACATAACCCAAGGCTTAACTCAAAAACCCTTTTTTCTGCAAGATGTATATGACATAGATGATAATGGGAAATAATGAAAAAATTATATTTGCGTGGTCTAAAATTAATTTATCCTTATTCTGTCTATAGTAACTATTTTTACTTACAACTTTGAATTTTTAGAAATGACTACTTTCTGCTATTATTTTCATATTTGAAGACCAACATATAAATTAAATAGCATCTACATTAAAGTGTTATGATACATATGCTTGAAACATGGCAGGATAATTTTGGCAAGACAACTTTAAAATTGCATGACAAATCGGCAATTTGGATGCTTTAATTTTGATAAAAGCGTATCACTTTTAACTATTATCTGTTTTTCAAATTTAATTGGAGTAATGTACATTCCATATAGGTATTCAACTAAAACATGCCGCACGTAACTGAAAAAAGTGCTCACCTTTTTTGAGCTTGCGGTGTTTGATTCGAAGATTTAAATGTTGGGTCCGGTAAATACTCAAATCTTTTAGGAATAAGTAATTCTGTAAAATCGTCAATTACAAATTTCAACGTTGTCATATTCCTAGGAAGTAATGCTGGTCCAGTTCTAACTCGAATGTAGGCATTTTCACATTCAAACTCACTAGGTACACTGAAATGAACAAATAATAATTATAAAAGATAAAAAAGCAATTCATGATTTAATTTGGAATTTGCACGACATAAACATTTACCAATTAACCATAATAAGCATGACGGCTTATCTTTCTCCTTCTTTAATTCAATGCATAATAAACATTTTAAAAAGAACCTTGCTGATCGAAAAATTGATGGAAACACATTCTTCCAATTAAAAAAAAATGATTGAGGCTGCAACAAAATCTAATTGTTTTTTTTAAAAACAAACCCACATACATAATATGTATATAAATTTCAAATACATTTTCGTTTACTAAAATGTCAATATGTCTGTTATCCCTATTTCAAACGACATACATTGCAAATGTAAATTACAATTAACACAGTTAGAACATATTTGTATAACAGATCTGATATTATATATTCACCTGCATGTTAAACATGATTTTGCATTATCACAGAATGAAATATTGTATCGATGTTTGCCTTCAAAACAAATATCACTGCCTGTTATTGTTATAGTTGTGTTACCAGATAGGATTCCTTTCTTTGGTGAAAATTCATTAATCATAGAATTCTGAAATAACAATGCAAAGTGATTTTTTTTCCAATACATAAGCATTTTTTTAATACTTTCAATTCACCGTTTCAGGATCTGATGCATTCTGGGTAATATTTTCCAAAGCGAACACCAAAACGTTGTGATTGGTTTAAAACGTTCTAAAATTTGAAATTCAACCAATGACGTAACGTTATTTTCATTTTGGTGTACTAACAATGAAATTACCCATATTCCTTTAGATTCTGAAAAGGCGAATTATGCTCAACCTAATATATACCATAAATAAAAAGTTGTAAAAACCCATTTTGTAGGTGCAATCTTATTTGCAAGAAACTCTTCGTGTGCTCTTACAGTTCCTATCGGGTTTTCAATTCAAATACATCTATAATTACTCAATAAAACCACCACTCATTGTAAGTTGTTAAAAACTAGACATAATCACTGTTTAATTAAACTATAAAATTAGTTGAAATAGTTAAAGTAATTTTGTAACATGTTTTTACTACTGTGACAACTGCAAATTTATTTAGTCATGCATATAAAGTAAAATGTGCATACATTTCCAGTAGTTCATTTTTAGTTTTTTTTTTCTGACTAAATTGACGTAATGCGCACATGTACTTTGATATTTTGTAATTTTGTACTATAACTGATATCAAAACAAATACATGTAGATATGGCAGTTCTAAAAACTTTTAGATGTTCTCCTGTTTTTGACAAAATTTATTTATGTTGTAATGGGCTAACATTATCATATGTTTTAACTTTTCGAACTTAAATATTTCGTTTCGACAGATTTAACTTGTACAAAAGGATGGGGAAACAAAGGGACTTTGACAAATCATATGTCGAAGAATATAGACAACATGGTTAATAGGAAAAAGACGAACAGACAAACGTATCCATCATCTATCAAACATGTTATGTGCTTTAAGAACGAGTAAGACACACGAATACATACACATCATTCTTATTACCTTGTACATGTAATTATATTCAATACTTGAGTCATTGAATTGTGTTTCATTAACCGATATGAATATCCCTGTCACCATCATCGTATCCCTTTTCCCAGTAACACATGTTAATCTGTAAAACAAAGCAGACAATACAGTCAGATGTTTCACTTAACACAATGATATAAAATTATAATTGAATCCAAATGTGTGGTTCAATAGGACTTATAATTATGTTTGCTTTAAGCGATGTTAAACAAATCAAAATGAACATTTTCAATATCTGCTGATACATTTTTGTTCATTATTTACTACACCTATTTTTCGGTATATCAATAACGATATGTATATTTGTTTGTATCGGCCTCATACAGGGGAAAGGCTAACAGTAAACATAACGAGGTACCTAACACTTTGACTAAAATAGATTTGGCTTGTTTAGTTTCATAAAAGTTTAACGAAATATTTACTTTTACCAGTTGACAAAAATATAAAAGTGTAAAGAAATTTAAACCACGCATTTTACAGGAATAATTTCACTGGATATTATCAGTTTGACAAACACTATTTTTGATCATTTGGAAGCTTTCGCTTTAGTAATGGTGTTTGATTAAAACGTTCAGCTGATGTTTAGAGTTAACTTCCTTAGGTGTTATGTACCCTCTCGTACATGTAACTTCACGTTCCGTTATACATACGATTTCCTTTTATAATTATCCTCATTTTATTACATAATTTTTCTCCCACCTTACCGCATTTTTTCTCTATATTCCAATACGTGTACATTCACATGTTTTGTATTATTTTGTCTATTTATGATAAAAGATAAATGTTCTAATTCTTTTATTTGTCTTATGTATTAATAATACAATTAAAACCTCCATACCTACTAAAGGCTCGAACTACTTTTACATTATTACATATTACACCATTAAGATGAACAGAAATATTATCACCATGCATTCCTAGGTTTTGTCCATTTATTGTCACCAATGTACCACCCATTACTGGTCCACTTCGTGGAGATACCTACACACAAACTTACTACTATGACATATATAAATTCAGCTGTTTTGTGTAATTAATTTATATATTTTTATTGGAATAAAAATCTCTTACAGCCATATGAAACAATCAAAGTAGTAAAACTAAATTAATTGAAAATATAATTAATAAATGCAAAATCTTACAATGGCAGATTGCTTACGCTAAACTACAACCAAAATGTATGTCGAACAACTTGTTAAAAGTACCTACACAGAACCAGTATAATATCAAATCAAGAAAGCTATAGATTTGAATAACAGGATACGAGACTAGTCAATTGAAACCTAGAATAATTATTATTTTAACTGCCATATTCGGTTGGAAACGGAAACAGTTGCAAGGTCCATATGTCTAATGTAAATCTTTCTTTAGTAGCAAGAGTTAGTTTGTTAAGGTATATATACGACTAATCTATCAACCTAGATCAAACGTTATTACATAGACACTATGCAACATCAGACGAAAGATACCGATCGCAACATCATCCTTACAATATTCGAAAAAGCAAAAGGAGAATGCAAAGACATTTTCTTTTTTTAAGATTTTGAATTTTATAGTTTTAATTATAAAATAAAATCAATAACTAAATAACAAAACGATCCAAATTAGGAATACTTATTTGTTATTTTCAATTTTCAGAATACTGACGCCAAGTTGTCTGTTGTTGTGTATTGGTGATACTAGTTAGTTGTTTTCTTTATCTTATACTGTATAACTTATATATGGGGTCATATATTTCTCAACCATCATCATGAACTGCTTGAGAGGGAGCTGTTCTCCAAGAGTAGGAAAAAGCGCGAAGGACTAATTATATTTAACAAATGTCTTTAATGAATTTCATGATGAAATAAAAAAAGAAGCATATTTTGATTATTTCATACATGTATTGATCAAAAAAAGTAAATAAATTTTTCGAAAATAACTCAAACTTTCAATAGGGAAAGATTTATTGATTAGAACTATTAGACCTTGAGTTCAAAATTTAGGTTTACCTTTTCAGTCGTTTTGAATAATAACTGTTAAG